TGGGTGGTGCCGGGTCGGCAAGAACGGCAGCCGAGCCCCTGAGGCCAGCCATGCCTGAAGCCAGATGCACTGCTCCCCTGAGCAAGTTCCCACTGCCTATGCCTCAAGGTCACACAGCTGGACAGGGCCCCGGCAAGCTGCCCAGTTGCCCTCAGCCTCCTCCTGCGCCCCGCTACCTAGCAAGCCATCCGACTTGGGCAAGTGACGGCTCTCCCTGCCGTCTTCCCGTCTGCACACTGGGAAAGGCATCACCATTCGTGAGGGACCATGTCCAGCCCTGTCTGCAGTGTGCTCGGTGGTCACCGCTCTCCCAGGATGGGGACCCGGCTCTCGCAGAGGCTGAGCTGGTGTTCGCTGCTCTGTCCAGCCTGGCCCCTGGCCCCCGGCCCCCGACAGTCGCAGAATGAAGACTGCCACAGGCCTCAGAGGGGGTTGGTGTCCCATGTATCAAAGGGCCTGTGGCTGCAGGGAGTGGGCCTGCCTGGGTCACACCATACTGCCCTGGCCCGGAGGCAGGGCCCCCCAGGGCCACAGACCTTCCCGGAGGAGGCCTCACCATTCAACACAGCATCGCACAATCTCCTGTCCCACCCACTTGTTTTTTTTTTTTTAATTAAAATAACAAACCAAGTAACCGCCCAACCCATTGGGAGAAGGACCTGGGATGGGCAGTCCTTTCTTCAAAAAAATATATTTTCTTTTTTTTTTCTTTTAAACAACACTAAAGCAAATCCCCAGCCCATCGAGCCAGTCCCGGAGAGTGCGAGGGACAGTTCTGCAGCACTTCTCCGGGCAGAGACTAGGCCCTGTCCCCAAGACCCCGCCTGAGCAGAGGGGCCAAGGCAAGTCTCAGCCTGCTGGTGCCCTGGGGTCGGAAGAAGTGATCAGCTCCAAACCATGCAAGAAAACCCAGCCAAACCCACCGAGCAAAGGAAAAAAATCAACAGAAGATAAATTAAAACACAAAAAAGTGAGTCAACACCCCTGGGTGGCAGGCAGGGCCAGGTGCGCTGGTGTGCCCTGAGGCCACATGCCAGCTGGGGGCGCTGAGCAGCTCACAGCATCACCCTCTGGGAGTCGTAGGGGGTTCACATGGCTCCTCCCCCAGTGTCCCTGCACCCAAGACGGCACAGAGGTGTGGCCACCCTGGGCCAGAGTGTACTAAGTCCATTCGGTCAAGAGATAAAAAAATATACACCTTGGATGGCACCTGGGGCGGGGCCGAGGCAGCAAGCAGACTGTCCACTCGGGCACCCGCCCTTCCTAGGCGGCAGCAGTGCCGGCAGCGGGTGTCCAGGCCCCTCCAGTCCAAGGTCTCAGGGAGACGCAGAGTCTGGGAGCAGCAGGGGCAGAGGCACTGGTGGGCCCACTGGGCTGGCAGGGAGCCCCCGATGGTCTGGTTCTTTGGCACTTGGGACAAATGGCCTGTCGTAGAGCCAGGCGGGAACGGCCCCTCCTTTCTTCCTGGAACGCCCCGGCCAGACGGCAGTAGCTTATGGATGTGGCATGCTCTGCTCAGCAGGGGGCGGCACGAGAGCCCAGCCCGGCCCCTACGAGTCCTCTCCCAAGATCTCCTTCACGAAGGCAGCGATGTCTGTTTTCTTGGTTTTGTGCAATGTGAAGAAAGGGTGCTCCTGGTGGGTGACGGGAGGCTCAGTCACCGAGGGGCAGGGAAGGTGGTGAGGGCACCAGTTCAGCCCCTGCGTGCTCCTCCTCCCAGGAAAACTAGTCATCCTTCTAGGACCCCTGCCCCTGCCCCTGCAAGCCCTCCGTGGCTGTCAGAGACAGCATCCATGGTTCCTCCCAAGCTCTCCTGCCCTCAGCCTCCAGCCACTCAAGCCTCCCTTTCCACATGCCAGGCCCTACCCATGCTGCCCCCTCTGCTTGGGATGCCCTCTCCACCCTTCCTCCCACCAGCAAGGTAACCCTCCAGGCTCAGGTCAAAGCACACCTCCTCCGGGAAGCCTTCCCTGATGCCACTCGTGGTCCTTCCGCTCCATCCAGAGTAGAGGAAGCCAGGTATGTGTGGGACCGAGTGACTGAGTACTTACATGAGTTCAGTTAACACAGAGCCCCTCAGAGGGGCTACCTGCCTGTGCTGGGAAGCAGCCTCTCCCGAGAGCGCCCCCACCTGAGAAAAGCAGGGCAGGACACTTTCCGCCCATACTCACCATCAGCTCCAGGTAGCTCATGCGCTCTGCAGGGTTCTTCCTCAGGCTAGGGGAGAGAGGGCAGCAGAAGCCAGGCTGGCATCACAGAGGAAGCGAGTCCAGCCCCTACAGGCCAGCCAAGCCAGGCTGGGCCAACTCCGAGCCAAGCAGCAGAGGACACGTATTCTCAGGGCTTAGGGAAGAAGGGGCAGGACTGCCCAGGATGGGGTGGGATCATGGGGGCAAACCATAGAGACTCGAGGCAAGTTTCTCTGCCTCTGGGGGCCATAGTTTTCTCATTTCTGCTGTGATCTAGAAAATTTCCATGAAACCACCACCAAAATGCTGCCCAGATGCTCAGCCTCACGGTCACATGCAGGATATCAACCCGGAGCGCAATTCCTTCTCATGGTCCTAGGAGGCCAACGTCTGTTCACTGGCCTCATCTGTTTTCAGTTTTTATTTCCCAGTAACAGAAATAAAGGCTATGAATTTTCCTCTGAATATCTCTTTGCCCACAACAAATAGATACTGATGTCCGTGTCCTCATTGTCTTTCACTTCTAAATAGTACATAGTTTTTTTAACGTCTTTAGTAGCCTAAGACTTATTTAGACTTTCAATTTCCATGTAGCTTCTCCCTCTTTTGTTACTGATTTCTTATTCTAATTATGGCCAGAGAACATGGTCTATATGATTTTGTCTTTTTCTTCGTTCTATCCCTTATAACTTCAAACACGATTCATTTTTGTAAAGCTCCCGAAGGCATTCTTAAATTTGGAACAAAGTTCTAGATATCAATAAAAGCTAAGTTGCTTATTATGTATTCAATACTCTTAGGTGCCTTTTTTCCCTTTTCTTTTTCTTTCTCTCTTTTTTTTTTTTGGTTTACATGACCTGTCCATTGCTGGAAGGATTATACCAAGACTTCCCACCAGGACCAATTTTGTCAGATTCTCCTCAGGCTCTATTTTTGCCTTATGTATTTTGATGTCGTGTGGCTTGGGGACTTGCTGCTACAGGAGAAGGGGATGAGGCCCAGAAAGGAGCTGGGACTTGGCCGGGGCAGGGAGGCATGCAGCCTGGGGTTGGACAGAGTCAGAGACTCACCACTGTGCAGTAAAGTCCACAAACTCGGGGGAGAAACGATCAGCTGGGAGCTGGGGGGACGGCTCCTCGACCACCTGCTTCAGCTGCTGAAAGGGCGTCCCCCAGGACTCATAAGGGAACCGTAGGATGGCCATCTCGATCTGCAGAGGGGACAGTGAAGTCAGGAAGCCCCAGACGCACCCACGCTCTGTACCTAGAGTCTGGGGGTGGGTTGGGGAGATCCCGCTGGGCTGTGACCTCCCTGACTCATCACAGCAGACCGGACATGAAAGCCAGGGAGCACCCCTGCTTGGTGCCTCTAACAGCCAGCAGACACCTGCAGAGCAAATCCAGCCCAGGGCTGAGACTGCTCTGGTCATGGGCTGGGTTTTCAGAAGATTTCACCCAACAGCCAGTTTCTAGTTGGTACGTGGCCATCTGAGGAGCTGACCTCCATGGTCCACCTCCTGCAAGGTTGCGCCAGGAGCAGCACCCTACGGGCAGTCTGCTGGGTCCCTAGTGGTCACACACCACACCACGTCTCCCCAGCGTGGCCTCACGTGCCAGCTGCCGTGCTCTTGTGGGGCTGTTTCCACAGGCGGCAAAGGGGAGTGAGATGACCCCAGCACGCCTCTGTCGGGGGCTGCAGGCAGCTAGACTGGGAGGCCTGCCTCCATCACACCCAACTCTCACAGCAGCTCAGACACCAAGGTCTGCAGCACCTCCTCCTCCAGGCAGCCTTCCCTTTGTCCCACTGCTCTGGTCTCTCTCCTGTTCTGCTCTGCTACACCCGGAGTCCCCAGCGAGCAACCTCGGGCACACGAGTCCCTATGCCTGCCCTGGGCTCTCTGCCTGCACCCTGCCTGCAGCTGGTGGGAAGTCGCTCGTGCAAGACACTGACTAGCTTACGGCAGACTCGAGGTTCCGGTTTTCACTGCTGGGATGAGAAAAACAAATCAGGTCAACCCAGGCCCCTGCCCGGAATAGCACAGAGCATCCCATGGTTCCAGCACAAGGCCCCTCACTGACAGGCCGTAATCACCATAATGAACGGAAGAGACCGCAGCTCCAACAAAAGCCCTGCGCTGGCAACCGGCGGCCAATCGCTAATTACTGTGCTAGGAAGGGCCTTCCCATCAGGCTAACGGCCCTTGGCAGTCCAGACGTACACACGCCCACGGAGGGCGGCCGCGGTGCGGCGGGGGTGGGCACGGCCGTGTGCCAGCACAGAGAAAACCCGCTGGCCCGCCCGCCCTCAGTGCGCGACAACCCTGAGAGAGCTGCAGAAGGGCGGCGACTACTACAGTTTAGAACCGGAGACAGAAAAGCATCCCTGCTCTGCCCTGGGAATCCCTGTCCTGGTCATTGTCTAAAGAGTTCAAAAAGTGAAGGACAGAGACAGCCTCTAGGCACGAGGATGCGCCCCCTCTAGGGTGCGCTCTGTAACAGGGAGTATTCAGAGCAGCTGACCGTGGGCCACGCCCAGCCCCACCCCGGGGGCTGACTCTCAGCCATGACAGCAGCCACACTCCTGCAACACCCCAGAATAACGCGGACTGGTCACACTGGGGCAGCATTCGGGTGGCCTGAAAGCCTTCCCAAGTATGACCCGCGCTAAGGGGTCACTCCTTCGATATCCTAGTGGCGTGAATGAGTGTGGGGTCTCCCACAGGTGCTGAACAAGAATGGGGGGGGGGGCGCTGAGGCTGGAGCCCCACCTCCTGGGCTGTGTCAGCCTCTACTCCACCAGTCCTGCCTCCCCAGGAAAGCCAAGGATTCCAAGTGGAAAAAAAAAGTCAGAAACAGGAAAAGTCGGGACCAGCAGTTAGCGTAATGGCTATGTCACTGGACTCCCATGTAGTCGAGCGCGGTTCGAGTCCTGGACCCGTGGCTTAAACTCACGCCGGGCACATGTGTGTGCGTGCCCAAGATCCCGAGAGGAGAATGGAAGAGAAGAGATTGCGGCGTGGCCACCCCCCCTGGGGGGGTGATTTCTCGCTTTCTGTCTCTCTGTCTCTCTCTGTCCTTCTGGCAAGCGCTAGCACCCTATAGCAAAAACCTCTCCAAAAAAAAGAAAAGAAACAGGAAAAGTTCCTAGCCTGGGGGACCGCTGAGCACACACTCAGATGGTTGTGGAACATCTGAGAGATGCCTGCAAGGAACCGAACAGTCCAGGAATTATACACCACGCCGCAGAGAAGGCCAAATTAAAAATATATAGGGCTTTTTAAAAACACAACAGGTACATGTGCATTCACGCCCAAAATCCTGACGGGGGCAAACACGAGGAAGAGGCTGTGGCTCGACCATGCCCCACTGGGGGTGCTTTCTTACACCCATCGCTCTCCTCTGAGCACACACGCCCTCCAGCAGTTCAAGTCCCAGACCCAGTGGCTTGAAACTGACATGGGGCGCATGTGCGTGCGTGCCTAAGATCCCAAGAGGAGAATGGAGGAGAGGGGACTGTGGCGTGGCCATCCCCCCTAGTGGTTGATTTCTCTCTTTCTGTCACTCTGTCTCTCCAGTGAGAGACAAAAATCTATAGCAAAAATCTTTCTTAAAAGAAAAGGGAAAAAGTTTAATTAAAAAATTACGTGTCGGGGGGAACCAGCAGTTGCCGTAATGGCTATGTCGCTGGACTCCCATGTAGTCAACTGCGGTTCACGTCCCGGACCCACTGGCTTAAAACTCGCGCTGGGCGCGTGTGCGTGTGTGCCCAAGATCCTGAGAGGAGAATGGAGGAGAGGGGACTGTGGCGTGGCCATCCCCCCTAGTGGTTGATTTCTCTCTTTCTGTCACTCTGTCTCTCCAGTGAGAGACAAAAATCTATAGCAAAAATCTTTCTTAAAAGAAAAGGGAAAAAGTTTAATTAAAAAATTACGTGTCGGGGCCAACAGACAGCATGGTGGTTAAAGGCGCTGGACTCCTCCCACATGGCCAACCATGGTTCAAGTCCCAGACCTGGTGGCTTGCTTTCTCACTTTCCCTCTCTCTCTGACTCTGTTTTTTCTAGTCAAATTAAAATAAATGAATATATAAATTAATTAATTAATTATTTTGTTTTTGTTTTTAAAGGTTTTTGCTATAGGGTACATGCGCTCGCCAGACAGAGAGAGACATAAAGACAGAAAGTGAGAAATCACCCCCAGGGAGGATGGCCACGCCGCAATCCCTTCTCCTCCATTCTCCTCTCGGGATCTTGGGCACGCAC